AGCGGATTGTGTGTGGAAGAAGATCCTTTAAATAGTCAATGAATCTCAAGACTAGCCGTAGACTAGTCTACTTCTGTTCGGAGGCAAGGGGCTACTCACTGGAGTCGCTAATTTGTTTTGCATGCGTTGGACTCGCTCATTAAACTGCCGTGAGCAGTCAAAACAAAACAGTAACTAGTGGATGCCTCGTTTGTCCGAGTCGGCTTGCGTCCTCGGCCGATCTCGGGGTCGTATCGTATGTTCCAGGACGCCAGGTTGTGTCTTCGCAAAATTGAATAGTTTACTATGTGTGCGCTTGCTCTACTAGTCATACCTGCATATATGTTTATACCCTGGCTCTCAATTGCCCAGGTCTCGGGCAGCTCCTATCGTGTCTTGAACTCTGACATCTAATTCCCGCCCATATTCAGTGGCGTAATCAGAGCAAGACGAGTGAGTTCCGTCAGCAATCGGTGAACATAAATCAACGAATGCCTAACATAACCCTTTTTGCGAGGTTTTGAGCATAGCGTGATCTATTGTTTATTTTATCCCCAATCGAATTACACTTACCTCAGTCTTCTGTCGCCTTAACAAACTGCTGTTTCGTTAGTATAATCCGCTTTAAATGTTGTTACCTACCACGTTTTCTGTAAACCCTTAGCCCATCTACTTATGAAGCTACCTGAACCCGCCAACCAGCGAGTGGTTTATGTAGAAGTGTAAATGAGAGTTTCAGACCAACTCGTCTTTGTGTGTGGGAAGTTCGGGTCATCCATTGAAATCACAATCAGAAAATAACTAATTAATCAACTAGTCCATTCTTTTTATTGATGCCCAGAGTTAATTTACTCTAATATATTCCCAAAAATGTTATTCTTCGCGCTTACTTTATGGATTATGTCTTATTGGACACTGCTGTTTGCTGCTTTGAAAGTTTGTAAAAGTGTTCGCATCTTTCTGGACAACCTCCATTTTCTTGTTCTTATGACTGTCAAGTTATAAAGGATAAACATATCGAACTAATCGTTGTCCTTTCTTGAAACAGGCCTCTTCTCGTTCATTACGTACACATGTCTAGCGCATCGCAGTATGCGCGCTAGATAGCAATAATATCCTGCAGATTTTGAACTGCACAGCCAGGAAATTGTTATAAACCAGTGTTTTATTCCTCTGAAAACATCATATCCTGCCTGAGAAATATAATGAGTCCAGTTTTGTGCATTTCCTATAAAAAATTGAATAGGCAACAAAAAGTAAAACTAATGAGATATGTTTATTTTTTCTGGCAATTAGTGCGGAATATCCTACAGATCTTCGTCTTAAAGCATGCATCCTACCATGACTCGGTTAGTTTTTCATTGTGCCCAACGATT